TAGAAGTTCAACAAAATGATGATAATATCGGTGGAGGAATAGTATACAAAGTACTATTCAAACAAAGTAATGTTTGTCCACAACCAACCACAAAGACATACAAAATTTGCCTTAAGATTGTTGGAGAGAACTTATAAAAAAAGGATTATGTAAGGGTTGATTTTTGATATATTTGTTTGACCAGTTTTAACCCGCAAGAGCGTGATTAAAACACAATTTATATGAATAAAAACTTGGACAGAGTTTCGGTATAAAGATTACGTAAAACAAGGATTAAGAAGGAGTAGAAATAGAGAATAATCTAAGGTGAGACGTTATCTCTTTCCTTAAGACAAATTATCCCGCTACGGTGCTCACGGTGAATGACACTTGTCTCCCAAGATACAATGGATTCACAACTTGTGGTAGCAGCACTTCAAACCACAAGAAACCGACGAAGTTTTGACAGAATTTTCCCTCTATAAAGGAAATGTATGAAATGCTATAAAATTAGAAAGAAGAGAATTGCAAGAGAAGAATGAATGCTCAATGTAATTGGTGTACCCAAAACCATGTCCATAGGGTTCTATTTATAGATGTAGAAAGGGTGCAAATGAAGTAGTGTGGGCCAAAACATGCATCCTTTCAAAAAAGTTGCAACACTTGGCCAAAACCTGCACCTTTTGAAAAGTTGCAACACTTCATTTCTTCCGACTTTGGTCCGCAATTTCTCATTCATCCGGAATTGGTTTCGAGATTCCAAATATACCACGACGATCTACTCGACGAGTAGAATAAGTTGGTTTATTTGCTTTTATAATTTGACCATCGGATCAAGTCCGAATATTTGGTCGAAATTGACACGTAGTCACACCTTTTCATTTTCCAATTTTTACACACCTTTTCTTTTAATATTTGAACCAATTCCTACACTATATTATGAAACTTTAATTTAATTTTTCTAGTATTAAGATTACTTGTGATTTCATGATTGATTACTCTTAATGGTTTGAATGCTTTCTCTTTAATTGGCCATTATATTCACTGTTTGAACACCATATTGACCGAGAGGTAATATGTGTGAATGTTCGTAGTAATGAGTAACATAAATTTCAATAGGAACAATTATTACATGATGTTTAGTTGTTCTTAATGCCTTTTGCTTATTCACAATTTTCATAGAGAAATTGAATGTTCATAAATAAACTTATGTTTATTTTTCTCGAGAGAAATTGTTAAATGGTATAAGAACATTGAATGTCCACGTAAATTTATATGGTTGATTGAATAAATTAAAGTGGATTAGTATTGGTGAAATCAGATTATCCGAGTCCTAATTAATTCGTATTCTCTCCTCAAGTTCGTGCAGCTGTAATTAATTTTTAGTTGCTTTTCGGTAGTTTTTAATTAAAAATAAATAAAATGACAGTTTTCACAAATTTACTTTTCGTCTCTTGAAAGTAGTAAGTAATTTTGAATGTAGATACACAATCTTGTTATGATTGATGATGGACTAATAATTACTTTATTACTTATGTTTTACATCATGCTCTTGTGATTTGAAAGAATAAATCTATTGATATTGAAAGATTCAACGGTTTCTTTCAATGTATCATTTTTGAGTCCAATGAAATTCATAGGCATGGGAAGAAATCCTCTCAAATAGAAATTTTTTCTTTCAACCATATTTCAATTGTTAATACTATATATATATGGACATCTATTACAAAGAGTATTACACCCTTGATCGTGAAATAGCGATTGTTTGTTGATCCCTGTGAATTGTGTGAAAGTAAGATCCTCCAAATTTAAGGATCAAAGAGTTTTAGAAAACGTTCTTGGTGGAAAAAAATGTGCCAATTCCCAGCACTACTACACCACATAGAGGTTGAATACTATGCTATTAAAATAGAAAAATTGAGGTTAAAGAAACTACATCAATAGGTTGGCTACAATTTTGCCATTAAAATTAGGTCAACCTTAACATGGGTAGTCAAAACTCTTATATGTTGATTTTTCAATTTTATCTCCTACCAATGTAGGATTTATTCATTAACATATATCGTTCAAAATTATGGCTCGTTTGAGAACGCTAATCTTTAAATTTGTGTGCTTGTTTTTTATTTTAGTCAGATTGATTTGATCGTTAATTTTTAATGAGCCATGAAATCATGGTACAACTTAATTTTCAATTTTAAAAAGTCAATCTTATAAAGATAATTAGTCCAAACTTTTATTTTTTGATTATTTATTTTATATACTATCAATGGAAGATTTATTTGTCTTCAAAAAAAAAAAAGAAAAAAAAAGAAAAAAGAAAGGATCGAGCAATAACTGAATCATGCACCCACAAGAATGCACATGAAATAGACGTTATGATACTCTCTAAAACCGTTATATAATTTCCTCAGTCCAAAAAAGGGTCAAAGTTTCGAATTAGAGAGAGTGAAACCGTGGCGAACAGAATAATAAGAAAAACAACATCCATACATCGTGTCGTTGAAATCTTCAAGAAATCTTTTATTTTGGGCTCGAAAAACAACCAAACGAACATCACAATCACCTAAGCTCAACCCAAACCAAACCTCCACTTTGGTTTTTCCAAGTTTCACTCCACAAAAGAGACTTTAATGATTGTAGTATGCAATATCACAAAGGGAGAGAAGAAGGAAGACACCAATAACTCAAGCAAAGCTCTCAATTGCAATGAAAATCGGCTGCCTCTCTTATTTCTTCTCTTTATTGCACTACGCACACGCACAAGAAACAAATGGCTATAGAGGGATAGATATAGTGGAAATTACAGATTCTAATAGATTAAAAATCCCCATTTCATAAATATGATGCCATGTTTAATATTTCACTAATCATAATTTTTTAAATTAATTAATATATTTAAAAATTAATTAAATAAACAAACCTAATTATCTCCTCCCTCTCTACCAAATCTCAATTCAATTTCTCTCTCTCAATTCCCCTCTCTCTCTCTCTCTCCAAAATCCCGCAATCGCCGGACAAGCGGTCATCGGAAGCTCCTACTCACTCTCTCTAAACTGTAATTCTCTCACTGGCACCGATCTCTGTTTCTTCTCTCCACTTTCTCTCTCGCTGTACTTTGTTCATCTCTACCAACATCGACAACGGAGCAACGAAATTATCACAGCGTCATCTAAGCGCCAGTCACCTCGCCGCGACTACTGCAAAATCGTCCTAGATCTGACCGTCGCTATGAGTATCGGAGCCAGCAATCACATCGACCGATCCGAGTAGCATTGTACGATTTGCTCACAGAAGTGTGGGCGCTGCTCACCGCCGAGATCTGTTGCTCTGCAACTGATGTTTGTGTACGATAGTAAATAACTGTGACCTGTGGTGGATGAAAATCGTTGGCTGTGCGGACGGTGGCGATACGGATTGTGAATCCGACACGTGGTGGGAGACGACGCGATTGGATAGGTAATAAGTGTACTGGTAGGGTGTAGCAGGTGGACGGTGCCGATTTGTTTTATGGTTTTGAGTTGAGATTTCCTGGTTAGTGGGTTATGGGTATTGGCCGGTGATTTAGGACTGTTGATTTGCATTGTAGTGGGGTTTATCGCGGTGGTGGTAGGTTTGGCGCGAAGATTGTGGTTGTGTTTTTACAGTGATGTGTTAATTTGTTTGAAGCGATGGTGTTGCAGTCGAGAGTTGGTGGTGGTGGCTCTGGCGGTGTATGGTGGTTGCTGTGGAGGTGATTTTGCAATTTGCTTAGATGACGGTGGTTGCGAGTGCTAGTTGGGGTTGATGGGATGGGACGTGAGAGTTAATTTGTGTCCAATAAATAATGTGACATAAAAAATATAATTGCACAACTCATAATTTATTAAGTTGTAACTGTAACATTAATTGTGAACAATTATTTTGTTAATTTGTGACTAACAAATTAGTTGTGACCAATAAGAATTTTGATTTTGTGACCGATTAATGAATTGTGACATATGAAATTTTTTATTTGAGACTGACAAATGAGTTGTGACCAATAAAAATTTTGATTTGTGATCGATTAATGAATTGTGACCTATGAAATTTTTGACATCGACAAATGAATTGTAACCAATAAAAAATTTGATTTTGTGACTAATTAATAAATCGTGACTTATAAATTTTTTGATTTGTGACTAATGAACAATATGTGACCTATAAAAATTTTGAATTGTGACCATAAAATAATATGTGACCTATAAATTTTTGGATTTGTGATCGAGAAATAAGTTGTGACCAATAATTTGATAAGTTGTAACTAAAAATTAATTTGTGACTAATTAATTTTTTTATTTGTGACCGATGAACTAACTGTGACATATAATTTTTTTGAATTGTGACCGTAAAATAATTTGTGACATAAAATTTTTGATTTGTGACCAAAAAATAATAAATTAGTATTTAAATTGTTAATTCGTGACTAAATTGTATAGGTATGTGACCTAAATATATTAAATTAATAAAATAATTAAATTTTAATAAAAATCTGATTTTTGAAATTTGAAACTTGTTTTCTTAATTTTGAAATATATCATACTTAATTTCTCACTTATGAAATTTTCCCATAGATATATGCACCAAATTTGGGTTACCAATATGGGCTAAGTTCACTAAATGGGCCAAACAACTTGGGCCATCAATCCATAGGTCAAAGACCACTTGATAAAAAGGTCAGTTCATATACGATCACCAAACAACAAATCCAATTATTGCTTGGCCCTTCAAAAGAGTTTAGCCTATGGTGTTGATAAATTATCCATCAACTATTTTAAATAATTATCCGAATTTATTGGGTGTCAAAACGCAACACAAAGTAAGACAAACAATTGGTAACATAAGTCATAAATTAATTTACAATTGAGCAACAAACAGATGAAAGCTCCAAATAGTTACAACTAAACTTTCTAATGCTTAACAATCCACACTCTGGGGAGTGAGTAAAAAATATCTAGAAAGAGATATTGTTCAATTTGGCTAACCAGATTTCCTCTAAGCCACCGTCAACTGCGGCGTTCAGGGATCCAATGCGGTGCTGTCAGGCTAAAGTGGACAGAGACCACCCGGCCGTCGAGTAGCTCCAGCATCGATGTCGAATTGACGCACCTTGGAACCTTGTATTGATTAATGGAAGCACACCTTGAAATTGCAAAGTCCATGAGATCCTCGAATGTGCCATTTCTCACTACCCTAATTTCAAGGGGTCCAATTGAATTGTCTGCCACTCGTCCTTGTTTGTAAACTGAATTCAATGACTCTTCCAAAACCAAACAACATTTGTCCAGAACCTGATGACTAGGCGATTTGTCTTGGTCTTTTACAAGCAATTCCCAGTATATAACATAATGTCCAGGGATTGTTTTTGTATCCGCGCAGCTAGTGTACTCGACTACGCTAGTGTTGAATTCATGAAGGAGCATCGAAGCACTGTCAATGGCCTTCTGCAATTCAGATTCATCGGTTTTGTCAGAATCAATGCTTAGTAACACATTCTGTCTCCTTATAAACTTGAATTGGGGTGCTGAGTTGTGGAACCCGGTGACTCGGAGAATGTCACCAACTCTGTAGCGGCATAACCCTGCATAATTGGTGACCACGAGCTCGTACTCCTTGCCCACCTCCACGTCCGCCAGGTCCACCAGGCACGGCAGTGAGTCACGGGACAGTTGCACCGGGTTGATTGGGTCAAGTAGGAGGAACTCAAAGTATCCCATGTTAGGCAAAATGGTATAAGAGACTTCGGAAGGCTTGCTCATTGGCTTCAAATTGATTCCAAAATAGCACTCGGACGATGCATACATTGTACGACGAATTGGCAGGCCACCACTATAATAATCAAGGGTTGGGATGTATTGAGCCATTGCTCCGGTAACAATGACCTCTAGGTACTTTGTGTTGGGCCAAATTCTTGTGATTATCCTCTCCCAACTTTCTCCTTCACATTCTTTGACGATGAATTGCGCAAGTTCTGGATTAGGTTTGAGAATTTTGGACATGCATTCAATAAGAGAAGGGTCAGTAATTTTAGGGTTTAAACTTCCAGACAAGATGTCATCAGAAAGTTGCTTCCAATTGACCCGGAGGAATCGGATGGCACGGAGTAGAGCAGACGCGAAAATCGCCCCAATACGGAGGACCTCTCCTTTCATGAGGAGGCCACATAGCATTTGTGTATATATGCTTTGGTAGGAATCAGAACAAAGAATTGCTTCGTTAGGGCTTGTATAAACATTGTAGGGTTCATATGGCCTATTCTTGAATTGTTCACTTTTGTAGTAGCTGGTAAGGACTGGACGTGCAAGTAGCCCACCTGGAGTCTCGGTTTCTGCCTTCACAAATAAAAAGTAGAGGGCTTTTCCTTTATCTAGTCCTGGCACATAACTATTAATCAAAGACAATATTTTTAATTAATAATTAGTAAATATTTTATTATAAATTGAAAAGGACTTTCAATACTCACAGATGCATCACTGGCAAGAGAAGGGAGAACAAAAGTTGTCTGCGTTTCATTTGTTCAGGTATTGTAGGCATGAGCTTTCTTTCACCTGCCGATGTCCCTGAGCTGCAAATACAAATAACAGGAACCTTGGACATACACAAACATGCAAAATCTAAATATGTATGGCTAATTATATATATACCTAGTGAGGAATTCAGAAATGGGATGAGAGCAAAGGATAGGGGAGAGATCGCCATTGGCAATACGTTGGATGTCCGGCAGAAATGTTGATTGTTGTTTTCGAATTTGTTGTATTGAACAGATTTTTCATAAATGACTTGCTAAACCAGATGAACAATTGCAAAATAGTAAACACAGAATATCATTTCCAGAAAATGAATTGCACAGAATAAAACAGAAGCATAAAGAAGTCAAGAATTCGGAATGAGGATGATCGAGGCGAGAACTAGGCTCTCTGTCCTTAAGACATTTTTACGCCGTCACACCGTGCTTACGGTATGTGGTAAAGCGTCTCCCAAAATACAACGATCAAATACTTGCAGAAACAGCACTTCGACTGCAAGACAACGAACTAGAACGGAAGTACTCTCTGTAGACTATTGTAGAGAAGAAAAGTATGTATGCAGAATGATTTCGTGATGTTTTTGTGTGCGTTTTAAAATTGAAAGCTTGAGGATCATTCAAATAGTGGAGAAAGTTGACGGTTGAGCAGTTTCCATCTACTACTCACGCCCATTTAACGCACAGTTTTAGCAAACTGATGGGTCGGTTAATAAACTATCAAAGGGAGGGAATTAATTGAATTTAAAAAAAAAATTTAATAAATATTAACACAGGCCCACACCCACGACCCGACCGACCGGTCGAACAGCGGCGGCGGCGCTCGTGTGGCCTTTGGATTAGTCTAGACATTGTCTAAGACTCTCCCTTTCAAAGACTATTGGTACCCCTTGGGGCCTAAACCCATATTCAAACTTGAAATTTATTAAGTGGTTCAAGGTTGTGTTTGCAACCTATGTGAGATTGGAACATTTTTCCAATTCTTTCCCATTTATTCCTCTTATTTATTATCTAACTTTCAACCATAATTTCTCATTCATATTGAAGTGGTTTTTCACAATTAAATATTCTACACTCACCTACTCGGAACGTAGAATTTAATTGAACATTAATTTCGATACATCGAACATCGGGTCCCACTTAAAATTGTGGTCAAAGTTGACCCAATTGACCCACAATTTCCAACAATCCCCCACATGAATGGAAATAATCATGACTATGCAATGCAAACACGAAAAGAGAGTACAGGCAAAAGACTTATTGCATCAGGAGAGGTAGCTTTTGGCTTTGAACCTGCCTTAGTGGAATACTATCGAGTTTACTTGGCTAATCAGTGAACTGATGTCTTGAACTGTTCAGCCGTTGGTGTAAACCAAGGCAACAGTATCCACACAATAACCTTTCTATTCAATTCTTAGGTTCTCATAGTTGTGTTCATTTTGGTCCTGAACAATTCTTGGGATTCATAAGTGCTTTTGAGAATTTTAAGCCCCAAATTCTCATAGAAGCAGCCTCACTTCACACTTATATAGGTGATCTCCTATTAAGAGTATTCTACTATACCCCACTTGGTTTATCCAAGCTATAGGAATCATTAAAAGTTACAACTTAGCCTTTTACTTTCCGCAGACAGCACTTTTTATAAAGAGATGGTTAAGTGCTTAACCGAGTCTTAATAACTTAGTTGTCCCATTGAACCAAGATCTTGGGATCTCCAGTCAACAATGTTGGGTTACCATCATCAAGATTCATGCATGTTCGGCTTTAATCCCATTTCTTTTGATAGATAATATACTTGATCTCTTGGTAGACCTTTTGTAAGCGGATTCGCGAGATTCTCCTTTGATTTCACATAATCAATGGAGATAATACCATTTGAGATCAACTGCTTTATGGTATTGTGTCTACGACGTATATGTCTAGACTTACCATTATACATGCAATTTTGTGCCCTTGCAATATAAGACTGATTGTCACAATGAATACTAATTGCAGGCACCGGCTTAGGCCAACACGGGATATCCTCTAAGAATTTACGAAGTCATTCTGCTTCTTCTCCAGCTTTATCTAATGCAATAAACTCCGATTTCATTATTGATCGAGCTATGCAAGTTTGCTTTGAAGATTTCCAAGACACTGTCGCACCACCAAGTGTAAATATATAACCACTTGTGGATTTAGAATCTTTCATATCAGATATCCAATTTGCATCACAATATCCTTCTAATATGCTGGATATCTCATATAATGTAATTCAAATTTTAAGGTATGTTTTGAGTATCGAAGTACCCTATTCAATGCCTTCCAGTGATCATTGCTTGGATTACATGTGAACCTACTCAATTTATTAACTGCGAACGCAATGTCAGGACGTGTGTAGTTCATTAAATATATCAGACTTCCAATAACCTGAGAATATCTTAATTGATGTAGAGGTTTACTTCTATTTTTTGCTAAGTGTAGACTCGTATCTACCGGAGTTTTGACTGGATTTTCATCAAAGACTCCAAATCTCTTTAGCACAGACTCAACATAATGAGATTGTGAAAGAACGAGGCCATCTGGTGTTTTAGAAATATTAATTCCAAGAATTACATCTGCTATACCCATGTCCTTCATGTCAAACTGTTTTGTTAGCATTTTCTTAGTGGAGACAATGATATCATGATTGCTACCCAGAATTAGCATATCATCCACATATAAACATACTAAGACATATGCTGTCGGTGTACTCTTATTATACACACATTTATCACACTCGTTAATTTTAAAACCATTTGACAGCATTGTTTTGTCAAACTTTTGGTGCCACTGCTTTGGCGCCTGTTTTAGTCCATATAAAGATTTAACGAGTCTGCAAACCTTTTTCTCTTGTCCATGAGCGACAAATCTTTCAGGTTGCTTCATGTATATTTCTTCTTCCAACTCACCATTTAGAAAAGCTGTTTTAACATTCATTTGATGAATTTCGAGATTATGTATCGCAGCAATTTTAATAAGGATTCTTATCCAAATAATCCTCATTACTGGTGAGTAAGTATCAAAGAAATCAAGACCTTCCTTTTGTCTATATCCTTTTGCTACCGAACGAGCTTTGTATTTATCAATAGATCCATCTGATTTTAATTTTTTTCTTGAGAATCCACTTGCAACCTAGAGGTTTATTTCCAGGTGGGAGATCAACCAACTCCCAAGTATGATTTTGCATTATCGATTCAATTTCACTATTGATAGCTTCTTTCCAAAAAGGAGCCTCTGGTATTGACATTGCTTCACTGAATGTCTTTGGTTCATTTTCGATCATGTACATTATAAATTCTGAACCGAAGGACGTAGACTTTCTATCCCTTTTACTGCGTCTGAGTTCTTCTTCATTTTCATCATCATTTGCAGTATCGTAAGTTCGTTTTGTTGAACTTACATCACTTTTGTCTTTACGAGAAAAGACATCTTCGAAGAAAACTTGCATTCCTTGATTCAATTATTGTATCTTCATATATATTTGTAATCTCGGATTTATGCACAAGAAAGCGATATGCACTACTATTATGATCATATCCAATAAATATGCAATCTACAGTTTTTGGTCCTATTTTTATTTGTTTAGGTTTTGGCACTTCTACCTTTGCCAAACACCCCCACACTTTCAAGTATTTATATGAAGGTTTATGACATTTCCATAATTCGTAAGGTGTTTCATCGTTTACTTTGTGTGGTATTTTGTTAAGAATGTGATTTGCCGGGAGGATAGCCTCCCCCCACAAATTCTGTGGTAGGCCAGAACTAATCAACATAGCATTCATCATTTCTTTAAGCGTGCGGTTCTTTCGTTCTGCAATACCATTAGATTCAGGTGAGTAAGGAGCCGTTGTTTGATGAATGATGCCTTGTTGAGAACAAAATTCTTCAAACGGCGTTCCATATTCTCCACCTCTATCACTTTGTACAATTTTTATTGTTTTGCTAAGTTGATTTTCAACTTCATTCTTATAATGTTTAAACATTTCCAAAGCCTCATCTTTGCTTTTTAATAAATAAACATAACAGTACCGAGTGCAATCATTAATGAAAGTGATGAAATACTTTTTCCCACCTTTAGTTTGTACGAATTTCAAATCACATATATCGCTGTGAATTAATTCTAAAGGTAAAGTATTTCTATCAACTGAAGGAAATGGTCTTTTGGCTAACTAGCCTCAACACAAGTTTCACATTTGTGATTAGGATCGAAATTTAGAGAAGGTAGCAAATTTAATTTCATTAATTTGCGCACAGATTTAAAGTTTGCATGTCCTAATCTTTTATGCCATAAACAAGAAGAATCAACAATATACGCAGAAGTAGAAGTTTCATTAATCTTGTTCAATTTAGGTACAACAGTAAGGACATTCATCTTGAACATCCCATCGGTCATGTAACCTTTTCCAACGTACATCCCATTTTTAGTTAGTACAAATTTGTCAGATACAAATATTAACTTAAACCCATTCTTGCTAAGAAGAGAACCAGAAATAAGATTTTTCCGATTGTCCGGCACATGTAGCACATTGTTGAGGACGAGTTCCTTGCCAGATGTCATCTTCAAGGTCACATTTCCTTGTCCTTCAACCTTTGAACTTGAGGAATTTCCCATGAACAGTTGTACTCCATTGATAGTTTTGTAATCAGAAAACACATTCTTTTCAGCACAAATGTGGCGAGTGGCATCAGTGTCCACCCACCATTCCCTGGGATTTCCAACACTATTACATTCAGATATTACAGCAGATAGGTGCATTTCTTGAACACCTTCAGACAGATTTTCAGTTTCAACAACATGTGCACGATCATTTTGCTTTTTAGGCTTGCGACAGTCAATTGCACGATGTCCAGGTTTGCCACAGTTGAAGCAGTCCCCTTTGAACTTCTTGTTCTTCTGGTTGTTTTCTTTTTTCTTCGGAGCAAAGTTTGAGTGCTTCCTTTTCATGTTCTTCTTTGAACTTGATTCAACCACGTTTGCCTTAGCTTCCATGTTTGGTCCCCCGTTCCTCCTTTCAGATTTCTTAGTATCTTCTTCGATCCTCAAACGCACAATCAACTCCTCCATGTTCATTTCCTTACGTTTGTGTTTGAGGTGATTTTTGAAATCTCTCCATGAAGGCGGGAGTTTTTCAATTACCGCTGCTACTTGGAATGACTCACTTACAGTCTTTTTTCAGCATGTAAATCATGGAGGAGTACCTGCAAATCTTGAACTTGGGAAATAACAGATTTAGAGTCAATCATTTTATATTCCAAAAATTTTCCAACAAGAAATTTTTTAGATCTAGCATCTTCAGTTTTATATTTTTTCTCTAAAGATTCCCATAGTTCTTTTGCAGTTTTCATTATGCTATATACACCATATAGCGAATCATTCAGTCCATAATTTTTGCATAAGAAATCGGAATGTTTCCATGCGTCCAATGCAATAATCGAAGCTCGATTATTTTCTCCTTGTTGAACAGTAGGAGGATCCTCCGTGAGAAACTTTGCCATGTTCAGAGTGGTGAGATAGAACAGCATTTTCTACTGCCATCTCTTAAAATCGACTCCATTAAAATTTTCAGGTTTCTCTCCGTGAGGAACATGAGTTGAACCAGAAGGACCAGACATTGTCGGCGTTACAGTAGCCACAGTTGGCGTCACAACCACAGCAAGGGGAATTGCATTGATCCCAACAGTGTTAGCCATTTCTGTTTTCAAAACAGAAGATCAACCAGTCAGAATTTACGAATTAAAATTCTGCAGAATAGTAATTTCTCATAAGAGTCTGCAAAGGTTAGAAATAAGCAAGTACAATTTTGGAAAATAATTTATAAAAAAACGTCTTAAGATTGTTGATTGTTGTTTTCGAATTTGTTGTACAGAACAGATTTTCCATAAATGACTTGCTAAACCAGATGAACAATTGCAAAACAGTAAAAACAGAATATCATTTCCAGAAAATGAATTGCACAGAATAAAACAGAAGCATAAAGAAGTCCAGAATTCGGAATGAGGATGATCGAGGCGAGAACTAGGTTCTCTGTCCTTAAGACGTTTTTACCCCGTCACACGGTGCTTACGGTATGTGGTAAAGCGTATCCTAAGATACAACGATCAAATACTTGCAGAAGCAGCACTTCGACTACAAGACAACGAACTAGAACGGAAGTACTCTCTGTAGACTATTGTAGAGAAGAAGAGTATGTATGCAGAATGATTTCGTGATGTTTTTGTGTGTGTTTTAAAATTGAAAGCTTGAGGACCATTCAAATAGAGGAGAGAGTTGACGGTTGAGCAGTTTCCATCCACCACTCACGCCCACTTAACGCACAGTTTTAACAAACTGATGGATCGGTTAATAAACTATCAAAGGGAGGGAATTAATTGAATTAAAAAAATTTAAATTAATATTAACACAGGCCCACACTCACACCCACGACCCGACCGACCGGTCGGCGACGGCGGCGCGCGTGTGGCCTTTGGATTAGTCTAGACATTGTCTAAGACTCCCCCCTTTCAAAGATTATTGGTACCCCTTGGGGTCCAAACCCATATCCAAACTTGAAGTTTATTAAGTGGTTCAAGATTGTGTTTGCAACCTACGTGGGATTGGAATATTTTTCCAATTCTTTCCCATTTATTCATCTTATTTATTGTCCAACTTTCAACCATAATTTCTCATTCATATTGAAGTGGTTTTTCACAATTAAATATTCTACACTCATCTGCTCGGAACGTAAAATTTAATTGAACATTAATTTCGATACATCGAACATCGGGTCCCACTTAAAATTGTGGTCAAAGTTGACCCAATTGACCCACCATTTCCAACAGAAGATCCTCGTATGTGACAACCGGATCCTTGTACTTAAACGAATCCTTGTCTGTAGCACCATTAAGATTAAATCTCTGTAGATACTCAGTTCCAGTATTCTGGCCAAGTATTTTACCCAAAACCTTCCCTTGCACCTCATCTGCATTTGTAGTTATGTCTTCAATAAATCGAAGAGCCTTTGCGAATCTCTCACAAAACGCCTGACCGAGTGGCGTTGAGAGAGACGAATCACTGGCCATAATCAGAAATGAAGAAGCCGAACGAAAAAGGGGGGGAATTTCCAACGTTTTGGTGAAATATATGAGGATGAAAATGTTTGGTTACATAGGGAATTAGAGTTGCAACATTTTACTCCAAACTTTGCTGGACGTTGGATACATTGTATATCGTGGATAATATTCTCCATTTTTTATTTTTTAGTTTATGGCCGGCGACAACGACAGCTGCTGTCGAACTTGGCATATATTACTCTATTTACGTTAGAACTTATCGTTTCTTCTTCGTAATCATGTACGTGTCCAAGTTTTGCCACGAAGTTTTTGTATGCATATGTGATATAACTTTACTTTAGGGAATCTAAAGGGCAACAAGCTTAGCTGAGTTGGCTCATGAACCTAAACTCGAGACTTGGTATTGACTCATCAATTAATAAAAAAAAAAAAAAAGACTCAATCTTTTGCGCTCAAGCCGAGCTTGAGTTTGGCTCGTCCCTAAAAAATGGGGCTTTGCCCAACTTGAGCCTGACGGGTTTTTCTATTTTTACTCGAATATACAAAAAATTGATCATTTATTTACAAACTACAAATTAGTTTAAAAACAATAAAAATAATTATACAAGTTATTGAATTTTATAAATTAGGTGGTCATTAATTTACAAACTAAAAAAATTAATTATGCAAGTAATTTAAAGGCACATGAGCCCACTTACGGACCAGGCCGTATTTGGTCTCGCTGGATGGTCGGACTGGGGGCAAACTTCAATTTTTAGGCTTGACCCAAGCCATGGCTGGTAGAATGAGCTCCGAGTTGGCTTGGCTTAGCTTGGATTTTTTTTAAGTCGAGCCACGAACCGTCTAAGTAGACTGGCTCGTTTGCCACCACTATTGACAGCTATGCTAATATCTAAAATACCTAATTATTCACTATAGTCTATAGTAACAAAAGTCCACGTTTGATTTTGCTAAAATTATTTTATACTTTTGATAAAAATTTATATTATTGAAAAGCAGTAAAAAAAACACTCATCTAGGTGTCGCCTTAATTTGAAGCTCAGGCAAAATGCCTCGCTTCATGCTTAGATGCTTTTTTTCTAATTTTTAAATGGTAGAATTTTTTTCTTCCCCTTTTTCGTCTTCCCATGCATGTTATTATTTTTTTTAATTTTTTCTTTTTAAAATGTCTTTTATTCAAGTTTAGCTTATTAATTTTTTTTTTAAAGTTTTCATTTGACTTTGATTTCAAATTTTTTAAAAAATTTGTCTGTACAAAATTTAAAAATGACTTTATCTAAATAGTTAAATAAGATTTAAGTTACGATTATATTATGTAATTATGATCTTGAAACTCTTTATTTTATTGCAAACTCAAAAAACGTGTATAAAGTTCCTATAAATCTATTAAGTAGGATTTGTCTAATTGAAAATTGAAAATTGAAACTATGAAAAATATTTTAATTTTTGCATTTCGAAAACTTGAAAACTGTATAATTAACTAATGGTAGGAATTATTAAGTAAATATAATATTTTATTATTCTAGATGATTTATATGTATTATTTTAATTATTAAATGATTTTTAAAATCTTCAAAATTTTAAAATAATATTAAACATAAGAAAACATTTTTTTACGCCTAAGCCTCGTCTAAATTCGCTTAAACTCGTAAAACTTAAAGCTTCACATTCACGGCTAGAACACTTTACACTTTGTAGAACACTATTGAAAAGTTAATAAATGGTGGTGTCTATAAAATATATAGTTAAATTAATTGTTAATTTTAATTTAAATTTTTATCATCCTTTTAAATAAATTAAACAAGGATTTTAGGGAAAGAATGCATGAATAGTAAATTAATGAAAAATATGTAGTTAAAAATTAAGAACAATAAACCTTTTAATTTTTTAAATAGTTTCTTCTTTGTGATCACGAGTCATGACTCGTGATTGGTCTTCCAAGGACCAACTGATTTTAAGAAACTCTATCCCCATTTGGTATAAATTTTTCAAAATTCATTTTTACACGAACTTATTTTCAATAAATACATTCTTTCGGTGAAAATTTTTTGCACGTAAGTTTAAAAATTGTTCCTACTTTTTATTAGACATTCTTTAAAAATTACTTTTCACATGTTCCATTCTCAAAATAAATAAATAAAAATAAAAGATAAATCAAACAGAAAGTATAATTATATATGTCATTTTAAAAGCATATAATCCATATTTAATTATTATGTTTTTCTTAACTATTAACTTTTAGTCATGTTTCTTCATGTACGATCATGAGTTAAATTAATTGTATCTCTCTAAAAGACATGATCTAACTAATGATAAAATCTTTGATCTCTAAGTATGAGATCAATAGAATTTGCGGTGAACAAGTGCAAACACTACATCCTTACCATTTACCAAGTCGATTTGTACAGATATGGTAGAGGGCCTCCATCATGCGGAGGCAATCGCTCATAATGTAGATACAAGGGGGTGGGGTAAGCTCTTCTATTCTGGTTCATGGTTTCTCTTGGCTATATGGTTCATTCGGGGGAGAGATCGAGCTTCAAGAAATAGTGAATGGTCTTATCAATACACAAATGTATAACTCCCCAGGAATTTCAATTGCCATGGATCCTTTACTCATAATTTTTGAATTGGATCAAGAAGAATAGTGAGTTGTTTGGCTTGTACTGTTTAAAGTTCCATTTCAACAGGGTACTTTTTAGCTTTTCATGCAATGTCCTTGGTGCCTGCCTTAATCCATATAATGCCTTCTCCAATTTGCACACGAAGCTGGGATTTCTTCCATCTACAAATCCTTCTGGTTGATGCATATATACCACCTCATTTAGCTTACCATTCAGAAAGGTATAATTCACATCTACCTACCTAATATTCCAGTCGTTTGATACAGCAAGTGTTAAGATGATCTTCAATGTTGATGCTTTGATAACAGGGCTAAAGGTCTCACCAAAATCTACTCCAATTGTTTGTAGGAACCCTTTGGCAACCAACCTTGCTTTATGCCTTTGTACTTTGCCCTCTGAATCACGCTTCAACTTGAACACCCATTTGCTTCCAATTACCTTCATTCCAACTTCATAAGGTACTAATGTCCAAGTTTTGTTTTTCATCAGGACATTATATTCTTTATGCATTGCATTTCTCCAACTGTCATTCAGAACAGTTACTGGTTCAGTTTCTGCTGATTTGTCCATTCTTTGGCTTGTGTAAATCTTTGGTTTGAAAATTCTTGCCTTGCTTCTAGTGACCATATGATGTCCAGTAGTTTGTTTTGCAATTTGATCATCAACATCAGCTTCATTTTCAGTGTATTAAGTTCCACATTCATTCTGTTGAAAATCATCAACCACCTGATCACCTGATTCATTTTGATTTATGTCAGTACTGTTGTTCTCTTCACCTATCTCAACTCCTACTCCAGGATCTAGTTCTCTACCAGAGGAGCCAGCTGCAGTTGATGCAATGGGACTGATTATATCAGCTGCACCTTCAGGTATTGTTTTATGACTAGACTCAATGTTAAATGGAAGTAGACTTATGACAGATTCTGAGGTTTGTGATTGAGTCAGTTTTTTTTAAGAATCCTAACTTGAAAGGAAAATCTAGTTCATTGAATATAACATGTCTTGATATATAAATTCTACCACAAGAGCTTAGGCACTTAAATCCTTTGTGTGAATCACCATGGCCAAGAAAGGTGCATTTTTGTGAATGGAAATCAAGTTTTTGTTTCTGGTATGGTTTGAGGCAAGGATAACAAGCACATCCAAAAATTGAGTGTTTTGTAATCGAAGTTTCTTCCATACAGCATTTGAAAGGGAGATTTGTACTGTAATATAGATGTTAGTAGTCTGTTGATCAAGTATGTTGCTATTTTGAAGGACTCCCACAAGTAATGTAAGGGCATTTGAGCCTGAGCCAAGAGTGCTAGGCTGGTCTCAGTGATGTGCCTATGTTTCTTCTCCGCCCGACCATTTTGCACAGAAGTATAAGGGCAAGAATGTCTAAGTTCAATTCCATATTCCAAGGTAATTTTATAAAAGTTCCTGAACTCACGTTCCCAGTCAAATTGTAAGGTTTTAATCTTTCTCTCAAGCTTATTTTCAACCAAGATTTTGAATTGTGTAAAGATTCTTAGTGCCTTAGATTTGTGTTTCATGGGGTAGATCCTTGTCAACCTGCTATGATCATCCACAAAAATGATATAATACCTAAACCCTGAGGTAGAATTCTTGGGAGCTGGTCCGCAGATGTCTGTATAGATTAGGTCCAAAAGATTTAATGAATGTAATGAGGACATGTGAAATGGCAATGCATGGGATTTACCAAGTTTACAAGGTTCACAGAAAGCAGGAATTTCATTAACTTCGGTGGATTTATTACACGACTTCAAGACTTGACTCAACATGTGATTTGATGGATGACCTAGCCTTCTATGCCATATATCAACTTCAGACTCTAACTCGACTCCTTTGGTTGACTCATCACAACTGGAATTCACTGTGAAGCAGCTGGAATTATTTTGATGGTTTGACTTTAGGTTTGGTACCTTCAGCTGATATAAACCATCTTTAGCATCCCTTGCAGGAGGGTCTTCCTGGTTTTCAGATCCTTCACCACACAATGGTTAGGAAAAAACTCAATGAACACATTGTTATCATATGTAAACTAAGATACGCTGATTAAGTTCTTTTTTATTCTAGGCACATATAGCAGTTTATTCAATATAAGAGTGTTATCTATTGCAGAAATACTTCATTTCCCAATATGTGCAATTTCTAACGAGTTTCCATTACCAACTAGCAATTTCTCCTTACCATTATATTTCTTAGCTATGTCCAGGTTACCTTTATCTACTGTAACATGGTTGCTGGCACCAGAATCAGCAAACCAAGCTAATCTTTAATGATTCTTGGTGCAGTAGCGTATGCAGAAGGAGTTGAGGTACTACTTTGATGGTTTTGACTGCTAGGTCTGCTCCCCATGTATCTGTCATCATACCTATTAAA